ATTTTCTCCCATTTTTATTTTTCTCTCTATTTGTTTATTTTTTTTATTTTCTCCTTTTTGTTCACTTATTTTTTATTCATATTATATGGAAAAGTCTGTGATCCCAGAATTTGAAGCCAGATTTTACTGTGTGTAATGGAAATTAAATTGTTGAATTTTGTAGTTCACAAATTAAAGGAATTTGAACAATTAATTATTATTTTTAAATACATGATAGATTTCATAAATTTAGATCTCATATGAATCTTCAACATTTATATAATAAAATAGGATGATTTTTGAATTTCACCTACACACATTTGTCCTATTAGGACATTTGGACGGTTCGGATCTATTCAAATTATAAAATAATGGCTGAGATATATTTTCTAAAAAATATCCTACATGTATATTTTCTATTTTCCCGCTTCTCTCTCTTACTTTTTCCTTTTCTCACCTATCCTTCCATGATCCCACATTCCTCTCTCTTTTCTTTTTGTTATTTTTTATTTTCTCCCATTTTTATTTTTCTCTCTACTTGTTTATTTTTTTTATTTTCTCCTTTTTGTTCACTTATTTTTATTCATATTATATGGAAAAGTTTACGATCTCAGAATTAGGAACCAGATTTTACAATGTGTAGTGGAAATTAAATTAATAAATTTTATAGTCCACAAATTAAATGAATTTGAACAATTAATTATTATTTTTAAATATATTGAATACCTGGTAAATTTCATTAATTGAGATCTTATATAAATCTTCAACATCCATATAATAAAGTAGGATGGTTTTTGAATTTGTCCTACACACATTTGCCCGATTAGGACATTTGGACGGTTCAGATCTATTTAAATTATAAAACAACGGCTGTGATATATTTTCCAAAAAAATCCTACATGTACATTTTCTACTTTCCCGCTTCTCTCCCAAAAAAATCTTACATGTACATTTTCTATTTTCCCGCTTCTCTTTTTTACTTTTTCCTTTTATCACATATCTTTCTATGATCCCATGGTCCCACCTTCCTCTCTCTTTTCTTTTTATTTTTTTGTAATTTTCTCCAATTTTTATTTTTCTCTCTATTTGTTTATTTTTTTTATTTTCTCCTTTTTGTTCACATATTTTTATTCATATTATATGGAAAAGCCTGCGATCCCGGAATTAGGAGTCAGATTTTACTGTGTGCAGTGGAGATTATATTAATAAATTTTTTAGTTCACAAATTAAATGAATTTGAACAATTAATTATTATTTTTAAATATATTAAGTACCTAATAGACTTCGTAAATTTAGACCTCATATGAATCTTTAACATATTTTTGTCCTATTAAGACATTTGAAAAACTCAGATCTATTCAAATTATAAAACAATGGCTGGGATATATTTTTCAAAAAATGTTTTACATATACATTTTCTACTTTCATGCTTCTCTCTGTCTTACTTTTTCTTTTTCTCACACCCCTCCTTCCATGATCCCATGATTCCGCCTTCCTCTTTCTTTTCTTTTTTTTATTTTCTCCAGTTTTCATTTTTCTCTCTATTTTTTTTTTAATTTTTTTATTTTCTTCTTTTTGTCCAATATATTTTACACATATTTTCATATAATGTATGTATGCCCGTAATATATTAGGACATTACGGGCATACATACAATTTTCATACAATTTCCTCCCCCTATATAAAGCCTCAACAAACAACATTCACACCTGTGTAAGTTAAGTATTAATCACTAAATAAGCTAAATAATGTCTCGCCAAGCCTCTTTCCGTTTTTATGCCAAGAATGTTTTCCTCACCTACCCACAATGCCCATGCCCAAAAGAACAACTCTTAGAACTCCTCCAATCTCTCCTCCAACTAGCCTGTCAGCCATACTACATCCTTGTCGCAAGGGAGCTCCATGAAGATGGAAACCCTCACCTTCATGCCATGGTTCAATGCACGAAGAAGATCCAAACCTCCAACCCGAGATTTTTCGATCTCACTGGAACCAATGGGAGGATCTACCATCCAAATATAGAAAAACTCCACTCGCCAACAGCAAGTCGACAGTATATACAGAAAGGGGGCGAGTTCGTCGAATGGAGAGAATTTTCATCTAAGGGGAAAAGCCCTTCGAAAAACAGAGATGAACTTTGGCGGGGAATACTTTGTGAAGCAGAAACGGAGGAACAATTCTTTGCTCTCTGTAAAGAAAGATGTCCCACCGATTACGTCACAAAATACCCCCAATTAAAAATATTTTCTAGGGATCATTACAAAAGAGAGAGGCCCCAATATACTAGCTCTTTTAATTCATTTCCTTTCTTAAATGAAGAAGTAAAAAAATGGGCAGAAAATAATATTTTGTTTGTAAGTCGAAATTGCGTTCAGCACGAGTTATGTCAAAATTGTTGTTTCTTCGTTTGGAGGGAATACGATTTCCTTAGATTAGGGATACACAAAAATAATATAAACAATTTATATACTGACGAAGAACTCTCCTTCTCCTCTGATAACAGGAACCAGAGCAGAGGCCCATTCGTCCAATCTCCCTCTACCTCGAAGGACCCTCAAGAACAGGCAAAACCGCCTGGGCCAGAAGCCTCGGACGACACAATTGCTTCTCCGGCAGAATAAGCTTCAAGGACTACGACCAAGACGCCGTCTACAACGTCATAGACGACATCAAATACTCGACAGTCCCTACCGAATTAATAAAGAATTTAGTAGGCTGCCATAGAGATTTTCATGTATTTGTTAAGTTCCAACCAGATCTCACTATTAGAGGAGAAATTCCTTGTATTTTATTAACAAATGGGGACAGTAGTTGGTTAGATGCAATGTCTCCAAAAATGAGAGAATGGTTTGATGTTAATGTAACCACTGTCATGATTAATGAAAAATTTTATTAATTTTATTTATGAAACCACTCAAAATCTTATTTACTTACTATATTTCCCCTATCATCAACTATTACATCTTGAGTCACATCACTATTTTTTACACTGATGATTACATTTCGTAAAACATTAAAAAATTCTGCTGCATCTATAATAACTGATCCTCTACGATCAACTTCCTCTTTGCTAACACCAACCTCTGAAATCGACGGACCAGGATCAACATCACTAGTGTCATCACCACCTCTGCGTACATCAATCTCTGACAAACTCAGACGACCTCTACGTTCATGAATAACTGAACCACTTTCCCCAAAACCTCCTAACAACAAATCTCTTCGCCTCTCCGGTAAACCAACAGACTTGGTCCGTGTCAGAATAGGAATGGCCTTCGTTAGAGGACAATGCCAGACATCAACATTATCATTAGTATATTTTTTAGATAACACAACAATAGAGGGGGCCCTCATTTGCGAATCTTCTGGCATGTCACTCGTAGAATACTTCAGATACCCCTTTATATAAGCAAAAATGAGTTTTCATGAGGAGTTTTGTGAGAACTCTAAAATTTTATAATAAATTTGTGATTTTATCAAATTAAAAAATAAATTTAAATAGTGTTGGGATTATAATTATATTACAATTCTAATATTATTTACACCGTGTCTTCAGGCACGGACATATGCTAGTTCAGATATATTTCGTAATAATTTAGATTGACTTTCTTTGTTTTCGAGTAGGAACATTGAAGTTGATATGGTATCTACTTGGTGCTATCTGCTGCAGATTAAATGGGCTGCTTATAATTTTTTATTTTATTTTATTTTTTAAAATTTGTGTCAGACCGTTTGTTATAGCAGCTTATGTGGTAAAAGTAACTTAAATAAAGTGATTGTCCTAGGAGGAGGTGTTTATAGATTTTTCTTATAAATTATCAACTTTTAGCTTGGAATACAAACAAAACACACACAGAAACAATGGTTAATTAAATCAATGCTCGTATATTTCTCTCTCTATTTGCCATTGTTACTTACAGGGTTTGTTTCACTATTGTTCCTTGATTGTGTTGCAATTCATAGTTCTCATAAAGCACAAAGTGAAAATAAATAAAGAAATATTTTTTCCGGCCCCCTTGACTTCATGGATTAACTCTTTTTTTCTTTGTTCTTTTTTATTGGTAGATGGTTTCATGGCTCGTGGCCGCCTTGGTGATAGTGATCAACGGTTATCTTTTGCTGGAATTTTTCTATTCCGAAGTAAATGGATGGTTACTAAGCTCCGTAGTATCTAGTATCTGCTTTTACAGCTGCATACCTTACATTTATCATAAACCTCACAGCCCGGAGCACTACGTTTTCTAACTAGCTCTGCTTTTTACATACCAAGAGGATCACAAACACACGAAATTGATCAATCTCGTTCCAACACCAGTATTAATGTAAATTATTAAAGCATGCTGTATGACCGACAGTGGGCTGCTAAGCTGCTTTTGCATTGCAAACACTACTACAAAATTATAAAAAGATTACACTCTTTTTGTTTGATGTATATTATTTAATTACATTTTTTAAGTTTTGTTGTCATTGATTACCATCTTTTTGCTTCACTAATCATCATCTAAATAACCTTGGATGTTTGATGATTTCTTTTTGTGTGATGTATATTATTTAATTACATTTTTTGAGTTTGGTTGTCATTGATTACCATCTTTTTGCTTCACTAATCATCATCTAAATAGCCTTGGATGTTCGATGATTTGTGAAGCAAACCCTCTCTGTCTTTGAGATTGTCACTGATAGGAGAGAGAAGAGTGGATGAACATCCTCCGGAAGCCCCTGTTTACACTCTGTTCCAGTTTTGGTTGCAACAGGGTTCCATCACATGTTTTGAGTGTGATAATAAATATTTAAATTACATCTTTTAAGTATGATTAATAACTAATAAAACCTGTAATAATAAACATTTAGATCACAAATTTTAAGTATGATTAATATTAAATAAAACCAGTAATTAATAATGAGATAAGATCACATGTTATATGCATTTCTCATTTGAAGAATAATCAATATTATTTTTGTACGTACATCTGAAAAATATAATACACACTATATATTATCCTTTCAATCACAACCACATATTGAATAGAATAACGTCACATATTTCATAAATAAAAGTTAAATGTTCAAAAGTATATACAAAAGAATCAATAAAAAGTTTTTAACTGTGATTACATATATTAAAAAATAAAAAAACTTGAAATACAAAGTTCTTGAATTCTATGACCATATTTTGTATCTCTCCAAGCAATTTTTTACCTGAAAAATGAAAACACAAATTAATGCAAAGACCGCTAGAAGCATATAAATAAACTTACTATTTGTAGAGATTGTCATCACCTAAAACACAAATTGATGCTCCCATCTAGTTATTTTATATTGCCTTGCTTCTTAAATATTAAATATTAATAAAATTTATTATCCAGTCATCACCTAAAACAAAATTATGCTGAAATTTCTAGTGGTGTGACACCTAAGCAAGGTTAAAGTTGTGTAAATTATTCTATACAAAATGTATATGCAGTTCTAAAAAAAAATTCTAAACAAACAAGGCTACATGACTCGCATTACCAGAGAGAGTTAATAGGTGTATCAACACATATATCATCTCCATGAGGAAAGAAGTTTAAATGAATTGTAAAATTCATTCAGAAAATGTACAAGGAATTTAAGGGAAGTAAATGTGTCATATATATATATATATATATATTTTATTTGATCCGAACACGCTTTGGACACTTGGGCGACACATATGACCATTGCTTAACACACATGAAACACATTATAAGTTTGGCCAAAATGACTTAGAAATACAATGATGGGGGGAGGGGTTTCTTTTTAATTTTACTTGTAGAATTTTTTCCATTTTGAATATTTCTTTCTCTAAATTTAATTTTATGGTTGTATATGTAGAATATTGGGAGCAAGGATCCTCTAGAATGATTTTTCCCTAAAGTTTCCTAGAGTACCACATTGTGTGGTTGAGATTTACTGACAAGTCACATCAATTTTTCTGATGTGACATGCCAGTAAATCTCAACCACACAATATAGTACTCTAGGAAACTTTAGGGAAATTTCACTCTAGAGGATCCTTGGTGGAATATTGGTAGTGATTTTCTATTTGATTTTCCATTGTTCGATTTTTTATGGAAAATTTTTAAAATGCTCTGTAAAAATGCTTAAAGTCAATTACCTAACCTGCTGAGTCGAAATTGAATATTTCAACAGGCCCTTTTTGTGAACCGTGGTTTTACTGTGGTTGGAAAACAATTTAATCCACCATTGGTAGATATTTTTTTTCCTAAACTGCTCCACACCAACCTATGCATATCCCTACTTCAATCCATTGATTTGCAATTTTTTTCTCCATTGCTCAGTTATGTGATATTCCCCCTACTTAAAAAAATTAAAAAATTAAAAATTATTTAATTTAAATGAACATATAGCCTTTGACATAATGGAATGGCAAAAAAATGATTTATGTAACTGCCCTAACTGATCGGGGTTCGGTTTCAATTAATCATTTAGTCCATGGAAAATTGCTAAAATTTAATTGTGTTGAATAGTGGATAAATTAATGTGAATAAAACGTTTGAATTGTGAGGTTGAGAAATCATAAATAAGATAATTCATGGGATACCAAAATATCACACTAGTGTTAGGAAAGTAGAATTCGGTTGCCTGGTCCTGGCAGGTAATCCTTAATACTCCAACATAGGAATACAATTACCATCTCCCCAGGGTATTTTAAGCCTACTGAAAGTTCTCTCGTACACCTGTTGCAGACCAAATACTTGTTTTAATGGATTCTTAACCAGAAAAGTGCTTATGGAAAAATAGCAAATGCCATACATGGACCTATGAATCACGCAAATTCCAATAAATGCATGCTTATGACTCACGGACGACCTAAAAATGAATCAAAAAGGAAAAAAGAAGCAGCATTGACAGTTGAAATGCCAACTTATTACACATTGGCACCATTGCCAACTGCTACATGGTGTAGTGTCACCATGCCACACATAGAGGGTTCATTCTTTAAGAGTTAAGGGATGTTCCTCAAATTGATGCCTCCACAGGTATGTTATTTGAAGAGTAAGCCTTTGACACCACAGTTCTGACCTAAGCATTCTAGAGCATGATGTCTCCCTAGGTGGAATTAGGGGTGTCATAAAATACCAGTGGAACTGGTAATTGGATCCAATTCGGATCAAAACAATGGTTTGGACTGGTTTTTATTAGCTTTGGTTCTGGTTACAGTTTCGAAAATGGTAGAACTATTAAAATTAGTCCGGTTCCCCATTCTAAGGCTTTGGTTACAGTTCTGAACCGAACCAAACCATGATATATTTGTTTATTACTTTTTAACATTTTTTCATGTAAAAATAAGAATAATAGAAATTACTAGTAAGATTTGAACCCTAGTTCTCATTGTGAAAATGACAAGCTCCAACCAACTTAACTGAACTAATTATTATCAGTTTATTTACTCTTATAAAATACATATCATATTTCTTGTTACATAAAAATTCTAGAACCGTAGAACCAAACCAGTTTTTATGGTCCGGTTGTAGTCCAGTAACATAGGTTTAACAGTTCAGTTACGGTTTCAATGTTTTTGGAAAAGCGGGGACCGGTTCGGTTCCTGGTTTATTCTAAACCCAAACTAATCCAATCCGTGAACACCCCTAGGTGGAATGCAAGGCCCATGGGACCCCAATGGTGCAAGGTAATGCCAGACACATGATCCCTTCAGAGGTTCAAAGCATGGTTACTGGTGGAGGAATATTCAGATGAATTGGTCTGTGGCTAGAGTAGGGAGCTAGTTCTGTTACCTATGTTCCATGGCCTCACCTAAAGTCCCAGAGCACACTTCAGCCTTTCCAGAAACAAAGAGACTGATGTTGCCATGATACATGCCGCCTTCAGCACGGTATATACCTGTATATTGGCTTTCAAGGACACAGCCCAATTCTCTAGGCTGACAGGATGGAAGCATGAACCCATGTTTCTATTAGGCGTGAGTTCAATCCATTTTGTCCACTACTCCCTCAGGGACACTATCTAAAGGTTGAGGAACCCATTTTCATGGGCTAATCTTCCTTGTGCCCGTGCTTCTTAGACACTATCTGATAAAGAATCAATGTCCACTAACATGTCCTAAAAAACCCTTGCATTGTGCTCTAACCCAATAACCTATAGAAGTGAAAAGAAGACAATTCCACAAAGCCTTTGATTTCTTGTTGGTGCTGAAAGCTCTACTTAATTGTAACTATGATTCTTATGCTATGGAATGCGGTTATTGAATTTTAATCAGTGTCCTGTTGTATAATTGCATTATTTCATTATATTTGAATGAAAATATTCAAATATATGACATAATAAATATATAAATTTATATATTTTTGTGCGTGACCCTCGCGTGTTGTGTCCTATATTTTTAAAATTTTTGTGCGTCAGTGTGTCCATGTCCTGTGATTTATCTGTGTTAGTGTTTCTTAGACTATGGATCAGTGGCTGGTCTTCTGGCTTCCCTACTGTTCTTTATCCCAGCTCTCACACTCCACTTTGCCTTTCTCTAATTTGGCCCAACTAATCAGGACGCCACTGCATGTATATCACCATAAAGAATACCACCAAAATGTAAAAGAACATAAATTTGAACTGAGTTATTGCACTACGAATTAAATAAATTAAAAGAGCTGAGTAAGTTTCCAAAGTTCTCGGGCATCCATTTCACGGTATCCCTCTGCCAGATCCTCTCCTGTTACCTGTAGCTTCCTTGATCACAGCAGCAGCTACCTCCTTTGTTATATCACGTATTCTGAATTTATAAAAAAGATCCAGACACAACTACAAAGCATTTCAACCAAGCTATGCAAACTACCAAGAAAGTCTTGTGATATTCAATGATGAAGGGGAACAAGTTGAAACTATTGACCTTGAAGACTATTAATTTTATAGGAATCTTTTTTCTTTATCAAGTTGTCTTTTGCTTTAGGTTTTATTTTTATGCATACTGCATTACTAAAAATTGTTAAAATAATATTTGTTACGAATGTATCCCCGCCGTACCCGTATCCTAGTTTTTCAAATTTTGTCATATCGCCGTATCCGTATCGTATCGGTATCCCGTATCCGTATCCGTATCCGTATCCGTATCCGTGCTTCCTAGCAACCAATTAAGTGAGTGTAAATAGATTACTAAAAATATTGCAATATGAGAATAACTTCCAAAATACTCCAAATGGTTCCAAAATGAGAACATATGCCAATTATGATCTCAAACAGCCTTCTAAACTTTTTTTAACATATTACACTTTTTTATTTGGGATTTACCACCTCTACCCTTACCAAAATCCATGGAGGTCATGGACAGTAACCTTGAAATTGGGTACATTCAATTGGGGTCTAGTGAAGTTATTCCTAATGGTGACCCATTGAGCCATAGTAGTGAGTTGGGGTAGATTGAGACGATAGGAATGGAGTCCATGTCAGATCATAAGGAATTTACGACGCCATCGCCAGAGAACATTGAGGTCGATGGATGGTGACCTCAACATTAGGGTATACATGGCAGCAATTAAAGAAATCAACACAAAGACAGCAAACCAAAAGACATCCAAAAAAACTAGAGTAAAAAATAATCAATACCAAAAACAATAGAAGAAATCAACACAAAATATAAAAATTAACATGGAAATAAACCTACAATCCACTTATTTCAGTTCAATAATATAGACAACGCAATAAAAATACATATTTTTTTCGTTTTAGATTTGTAAATAATTATTGAAAATTGTTTACACAAAGGTAGAGAGAGAATGAGAGCGAGACAGATAGGGTTTGTGACGAGGTATACCCACTGGATTTGTGGCCTCAATCCGTTCTCGGCCCATCATCACTTCATCGTCGACCTCGATCTGAAGTCTCAATCGCCGAAGCCTTACTACTATGTTGCGACGGTAGTTGTGAGGAGGGAGATGAAGTGGTCGCTGCTCACAAACTCATGGTGGAGATATGAAGAGAGTGAGGGTTTGTGAGGAAGGTGGAGAGACAGAGAGAGCTCCGTTTGGCAAGTTGGTTTTGAGGATTTTTGAGTTAAAATAATCTAAAAAATATAAAATAGATTTTTTAATTTAATAAGACAAAACATCACATTTAATTCATAATTATTATATTTTTTCTTTATAAAAAAATCAAAAAGGCTAAACGCCCTTCTCAAATTAGACTTTTTAGACCCGTGTTAAAATAATTAAAAAAATTAAAAAAACTAACCCATTTCACAAACAAAGCTAGAGAGAGAGTGAGAGAGAGCTGAATGATTTTGAAATTTGAAAGGTGTGAGGCTAGGAAGAGGAGTTGTGATTTTTCTCCGCTCATAATTTTGCCAAACGATCTCATTTGTTAATTTTTCATTTGAAATGATCAGAGCCGTTACTTAGAATGTGTGATTTAAAAAAAAAAAAAGAAGAAAGTTTTATAACGACCCTTATTTAAAAAAGTCACATAAAAAATAAATATAATTATATGTTAATTACAAGGTATGATTAAAAATATATATATATATAATCACACTTAATTAAAAAATAACATAAAAAATAAATATCATTATACTTAATTAAATTAAGTATAATTAAAATATTAATTTAATTTTTTTTTATCATATTTACAATAAAAATGAAATATTTTTATTTGTCAAAGTCATCTTTTAACTGTCTTTTAATAGTGAAAGCATATACTTCTGACATTTATGCAAATAGATATATCTGGGGATAGTCGTGTACAAGTCTGAAGCAGCGGATTATTGAAGATGCGGCGTGTGATGTGAAACGAAAATGAATTTTTTTTTACTTATTTTTTCCAGGAAAGATAAGAGAAGAAAAGAAAAGAAAAGAGCAATTGTTATCCGAATGTAGTTTTATTTGCCTATGAAACATGCGAAGCAGTGTATTATTCATCATAAATTGCAGAAATGTTGTCCTTGGAGTAAATAATTCAATGTTCTTGGCTTCATCAACCTCTGATATTAGTTGTACAAGTACGAAATAATGTTCTCGTGTAATCCTGTTGATTAAGTCTACGCTCCTCCAAACGTCGTCGCTTTACTTTCTGAAAACACAAACGTGAACTAGTCGGCGGGTGTGTGCCGGATACCTCTCTGATGTCTAAGTCAGCAAAATAGACAAATAGACAAAAGTTCTGTGTATTCGAGAATCAAAATTGTGATACGTGTACAGAAGTCCTGCTATGAGCTTTTATAGATTCCGCTTGACACACTCCTAGTAGGATTCCAACTCTTTCTCATAAGAATTCTCCCATGAATCACTCACCCTACTCACTACTAACCAAATGAGATGGTTTGCACAATCCTAGTGGGACTTTTACTTTCCTTAGCACAGTCCTCCTAGGAATTAGAAAGGTAATGCTCATCTTTCTACACCCTTCACACTACTTACTTAAGGGAGATGGTTATACAGCGGTAAAACCTCAGTATGTCCGAGCTAACCCATGAACTTTGACATACATAGCTCGGTGCTTCTATATGCAACGCTTAGCTCGGTCTCCATTCACCTATACCTCGGTTGGTTACCACCGAGACCGAGCTAATCTGCAACTGCCTCTGACCGGGATAACAGAAGTGGGGTCCAAGTCACGGAACCCAATTACATTGGCCCACAACCCGGCTAATTCTTATACTTGGACCTTGCTCGGCCCATAGCTCGGTCCACCACTATTCCTGGACCCAGTTTGGCTTCGGCTCACAAAATCTCCCTTTCAATTGCCCCTTAATTCCATCTACAGCGCATGATTTGGGATTACTCTTTTCTAGCCGAGCTAAAAACATTCAAGCCAACCGAGGTCACCCCCTACCGGGTTACCGATTAGTCCGGTTCATAAACGTCCTTTCACTCTGTACATCTGAATCGTTTCTTATTCGTGTGGACACGTGGCTGGCTCCCACTAGCCAAGTACAACTATCGCCGCCGCCCTCGTACTTCGAAAATTTGAACAATCCCGCTCATTTCATATGCTTTATACAAAAGAACCCTCATTTTTGAAAAACACTGTTCATCTTCTTTCCTTTGCCCTCTGAGAACTTTGTGCATTCGAAGCTCCATACTTGCACCTTCATCTTCATTGGCTACTGATCCTTTGTGACTTCACACTTGTAAGTTTGCTAACACTTTTTTATGCTGTTCTTTTTCAACTATTTCTTCATTTTTGATATTCAGTCCCCACATACATGTGTTTATATACGCTAGATATTCACCATAGTACTGAGCAAATGCTATAAACCCCAAACCATAGGTTCGTGCTCAAGAACACACTGTTTGGATTCAGAAAACACGAATTTGAATCTAGAATCGTGTTGTAACCGAGCTAAAAACCTGTTTAGGCAACTCTAGGTTTAAACTCAACCGAACTAGGGAACTCCACCCAATAACCGAACTACAATTTTCACGCCTCGCCTTTTGTTACAACCGGTCTAAGAACCTTCTTTCACATTTAGCCAAGCAAAAGACTTTTGCTCCAACCGGACTAAGAACGGGTCACATCCCACGTTGCCGAAATAGGGTTATATTTATTTTGCCTTTGTACTTAGCATGGTTCAACGATCTAGGCTTAACACTTTTCATCTCCACTTTGCAGACTCTGACTAGGTTGGCCAGGCATACCTTTGCACGCTCAACCGAGATACTCAACGTCGTCTCAACACCGAGCTAGTACTCCGAGCTAATTTATACATAATTTAAGTCCACATGGGTAAATACCGATTTTTTGTAAACTCTACAGGGGCCATAGCCGAGTTCCGAAAGGATTACCAAATTCCAGACGACGTCTATCTTTCTCTAGCTGAACTAGATACCACGCCCTGGGGAAAACAAGGTTTCGTTCCATTTACTGTACTATCCATTGTTGAAGCCGGTCTCCGATTCCCAGTCCAGTCACTCCTTTGTAAATTCCTTAGGCAAACAAGACTCTGCCCCACTCAGCTCTCCACAAACTCTTATAGAATAATAAATGGCATCGCCGAGCTAAACTGTCGGCTTGGCCTCAACCTCGGTTTAGCCGAGCTATTTCATCAATACTCGCTTGGCCAAAATAAAGACGGCTGGGTATATTATTTAAGAATAAGAAGACGCCGAGAGAAAATAATTAAAAACACATCGGACAAAGACGTGAATGACGACGACTTTTTTTGGGTTTCTGGTAATTTTGAAGACCAGGAAGCCCTAATACCGGGATACGGAATTAACTGGAATAAAGGAGTAGCCGGTATGAATACCTCGGCTTAGCTTGTGCATTCTTTACTCTTACTGTTTATAAGTTTTGCCCCGTGCTAACCATTGCCTTTTTCTTTTATGCAGACTTGAACCAACTAAAGTTGCAGTACCAATACCCCAATTTAGACGCACTCCGCGCCGCGCTTCGGTACCGCGATCGAGGTTGGGCCGAACTACTCAATTTTGAACCGACATATAGATACAACAGTAGGAGGAAGACCAGGGTGACCAATTTCCTTCTGGAACCTTCACCAGAGCCCTCTTCCTCAAATTAGGCTGATCCCACTAACAGAGGAACAAGAAATGGCTAAGAAGAGAGCAGTCAGGGCACTCATCACCGAAACAACGGCCCTAGCTGTGGGGGATCAAACCAAGGTACCACAGGCTGGCCAACACATGAGGCCGTGGTAGCCTTGACAACAGCCCGAGCCTCGTTATCTCGGCAAAACAAGCGTGCTCGTACCTCCTCGACCGAGCCACGTCTTATTGATGAAGACGACACCGTGCTTCCAAAGATCACACGACCGAGCCCAGCACCAGTGCGTTCTGATCGGGCAAGCCCTTCAGAGTGGGCACCAAGAGTGACCTATAAGAACCGGGCCATAACAAACATAGATTCAGTGGTTGTCGAAAAAGACCACTCGCTCGCCTTCAATCTCGCAAAGCGCGTATGCTTGCCAGCCGACATGGAGCATCATGATCATCTGACCGAGTTGAAGGCCATCCGTTCGGCAACAAAGTCAATGGTGCTGGTAAGTTTCTCTTCTTGTCTTTCTAATTTGTACATTTGTTTGCGCGGTTTTAACCATGATTGCTATCTCTCCTTTTGCAGGCCATGTAGAAGAATCATGTAGCTCACAAACGCGTGTTGGAGCTGCGTAAGACCACACGGCTGGCCGTGGTAGAGGCCAACGCTAAGACGGCCAAGCTAGAGGAATCCAAGCAGAAAATGGCCGAGCTTAAATCTGAAGTTGCCCAGCTCACCGGGCTGGTTAACTCTGCTGAGGCAAATAAGCAGAAGGCTTTGGCCGAGCGGAAAGACAAATATCTGTACAAACTAGCCAAGCTCGAAAAAAAGAAAGATGTTGAGATCGCCGTGCTAAAGAAGAGCGCGGATAATGCGAAAGACCGCGGCTTCAAGAAAGGGGAGGCCATTTACATCCTGCAGTGCGAAGCTTCAAAAGACATATTTTTTAAATGCGGATGGAAGGCGACTGCAATAAAGCTTGGTTTTGGCCAAGAAACCGAGGTCTTCCAGAACCCTCCTCCCCACTTCATTCCGAGTTACATGGCGGACTACGCTAATGCTATCCAAGAAAAATTACTGCAAGTAGGGGAGGAAGATGAGGCATCCCTAGAACCAGAAGACGCCCTAGCTGCTACTAGTGACCTCGATCTCCAGACTACTCAGTCATCTCGAGTGAATCCATCGGTGCCCATTACTATTGAAGATGTGGTAGTGACCGACCTACCTGCCAACACCGGGCTACCGAGTGGTGAAGCTCGGGTTGACTTGGATGACCGATTTGGATGATCATGTATTTTCTTCTTTTACCTCGTTGAAAGAATTTGTAACCGGGCTAAAGCCCCTCGTTGTAATGCAGTTTCCAATCTTGAATGAAATTCACTTTTTTTGTCCGTCTTTTTGTTCGGTTTATTTCATACCTATATTTATTTCTCAACGCTGATTTGTATGAATTTTTTAACATTTTCTAGCCGAGATACTTATCTCGGTCTTGAAGCCTTGTAATTTGTTTGGTCATACCTGCCAAGTCTCTTCAGCCTTGATCCTTATCTTGGCTGGAGAGAACTCAAAGTTAGTTATTCCAGCCAACTTCTCTTAAGCCTAGATCCTTATCTCGGCTGAGGAGAACTCAAAGTTGGTTTTTCCAGCCAACCTCTCTTCAACCCAGGTCCTTATCTCAGCTAAAGAGTACTCAAAGTTGGTTTTTCCAGCCAACCTTTCTTCAGCCTAGATCCTTATCCTGGCTGAAGAGTACTCAAAGTTGGTTATTC